TCGATTAGTAAATCGATTATATAGTATATCAAACAATTACTTGATAACGATAACGCGTAAATAAAGATTTAATCAAATTTTTCGTTATTGCTAATTAATACCATTATAAAGGATAAAAATCCTCTTCCAGCCATAAGTTTATTCACTTTAAACAAAAAAAAAAAAAAAATGCCCTTAGCAAGTGAACTTAAAGCTTGGCACGCACTTCGAAGTCATTATGACACAGAAGGCAAAAACTTGGTGTTAAAAGAACTTTTTGCACAAGACCCTAATCGCTTCAACACTTTCTCACGTCACTTCAAAGGCGAACGTACTGGTGCCTCTATCCTACTCGATTTTTCGAAAAATATCATTACTCATGAGACTTTTAGAATGCTCATTGAACTTGCACGTGAGGCTGATGTCGAGGGATTCAGGGATAAAATGTTTAAAGGGGAGCACATTAATTTTACTGAAGACCGTGCAGTATTACATATCGCTTTAAGAAATGTCTCAAATAATCCCATTTGTGATAATGGGGAAAATGTTGTACCAGAAGTAAATAAAGTCCTAGAGCAAATGAAGAATACTTCAAATGCTATCCGTGAAGGTCAATGGACTGGATATACTGGCAAAGTAATTACTGACATCGTTAACATTGGTATCGGCGGGTCAGATCTTGGTCCCGTAATGGTTACCGAAGCATTAAAGCCCTACGCAAAAAAAGGGTTAAATGTACATTTTGTTTCGAATATTGATGGTACACACTTAGCCGAAACGTTGAAAAAAGTACATCCTGAAACAACCCTTTTCATTATCGCGTCCAAGACTTTTACCACGCAGGAAACGATTACCAACGCTGTTTCTGCTCGAACTTGGTTTTTAGATACGGCAAAAGACGTGAGTATGATAAGGTGAATATGAAAAATATAATTTATAAGCATTGCCTGATTTCATCTTTTAACTTTAGAGTGCATATGTCGCAAAACATTTCGTGGCGCTTTCGACAAATGCTGCAGAAGTCACAAAATTCGGGATCGATCCCGCAAATATGTTTAAATTCTGGGATTGGGTTGGTGGACGTTATTCTTTATGGTCTGGTACGTAATAAAGATGTGTATAAATGATTACTACATGATTATGCTATATTGTTTAACATAAATTTTTATACAGCTATTGGGCTTTCCATTGCGATTTACATTGGCTTTGATAACTTTTATGAACTTCTTTGCGGTGCGCATGATATGGACCTTCATTTCCAAAACGCACCATTGGAACAAAACTTGCCAGTAATTTTAGGTGTAATTGGTATCTGGTACAATAATTTCTTTGACGCACAAACACAAGTCATATTGCCTTATGATCAATATCTCCATCGTTTCTCGGCTTACTTCCAACAGGTGATATGTTGATTTTTTAATTGTTGCCATTTCCTTTTTTTAAAAAAAATATTTGCTTACCATATAAACATTTAATAAACATTTAGGGAGATATGGAGTCCAACGGCAAATATATTTCACGTTCAGGAGAACCGGTGAACTATCAAACTGGACCTATTATCTGGGGAGAGCCTGGTACCAATGGTCAACATGCGTTTTATCAATTAATCCATCAAGGAACAAAGATGATACCAGCAGACTTTTTAGCGCCTGTTGAAACACATAACCCTATTTCTGATGGTTTACACCATAAGATCCTCTTGTCAAATTTTTTTGCTCAAACTGAAGCTCTCATGATTGGTAAAACTAAGGATAATGTATTACAAGAATTGAATAACGTTAAAAATAAAGATTTGATAGCACCTCACAAAGTCTTTACTGGAAATCGACCAACAAACAGCATCATGTTCCAAAAATTAACACCTTCTACTCTCGGAGCATTAATTGCAATGTATGAGCACAAAATATTTGTGCAAGGCACCATTTGGAACATTAATTCATTTGATCAATGGGGTATATAATATTTTAGATAAATAATTTAATTTTCATTCCCATTCAAATCATATTAATCTTTTTTATTCACTACAGGTGTTGAACTTGGTAAAGTTCTGGCAAAAAAAATTTTACCCGAATTGACAGCTCAAGATAATACGCCAGTTTGTTCTCATGATTCTAGTACTAATGGATTGATCAATTTTTACAAGGCTAACAGGAAGGATTAAAAATATGTGTGATATTTGATATAAAAATGAATTATTGTTTATGTGTATAAATTTGGGATCTTTTTTAAAAGAAATATTAACAATACTGTATTTATTATTTATTAGCTTTTGTTAAATAAATTTATGGGGAAAGTATCAGTATGTACAATACTATATAGTATATTTAAAGATCAAATAAAATATATTCAATGATCTGCGCATATATATACTATACATAAGTTTGAATCCAATGAAAAACTTTTCAGAGAAATGTAAAGTGTAAGTACATAAAATTTGAAATTATTGTACAAGTTTAAATTAAAAGTACGTACTGTACATGCGAAGAGTTTGGAACCGGGTTTTTATTATTTAACATATGAAAAATAAAACCGGTTCCAAATTTTAGTTACTGGTACGTACGTACAGATAAATCCGTTTCAATACCCGTGAACCTCGAATCCGTGCGTTTCAAAACCGTATATCCGATTGTCATGCAAGACCCAAACAAAGAATGTAAATGTCAAAACGGTTGACCATGTCACCGTATATGGTGAAGGAGTGATATTACCTTATTGGGATAAGTTCGTGCCACATTTCTCGTGCCGCGAAATGACTTCTCGAATGAACGAAAAATGGTCATTGTTACGCGAGATTATCGTACATTTTACCGATAAAAACCTATGCTATACCACAGAAGGATACATTTAGTGATGTGTTTAAATCCGTATAACGATAATATGGATTACACAAAATCCAATCTACAATCCGCAGATTCGAACAGTTATCATGTGAATCGGCACAAGATACCAATGTATTATACCATGATCGTTTAAGATTCCATTTATAATAATTAAAGATGGGATCGACGACTCTGGAAACTGCATGAATCACGTAAGAGTTTTCGCTATACTCTCCTTCACCTAATAACGGTCTCAAACTCCAACAATTTCTCCTATGAATTAAGCGGATGATTAATTTAACCAAGAAATGCAAAATATGATTGATTGTATTATTCCACTTACAGTCCTTCTAGTAGATCGAAT